TCTGTATTGACAAGGCTGAGACCTGTGATTCAGGGTGTTAGTGACATTCAGAATGTCAGTATGCCATGCCACATTGACAATAAGACCGTAGATCTGTGCAAATCTGTCATTCATGCAAAATCACAATGCTTTAGTTTGAAACTCAGAAAATAAAAGTCATAAGATTCGAGCATAGCAATGACTAGAAACTCACCATTCCATCTTTCTTCTCTTGGCACTAGTTTTAGTTTACAAATGTGTGTGAATAAATGTACGAATAAATATAATTCACTAATCCACTCAAATGATTATATAACCAATGTCTAGATAAGTTCACCATAATTATGCATACACACAACATATTCACAGCACCTTTGAAGTGTAGAATATGTCTTCTCTCTTTACAACACCTTCAGCAATCTTGCTACGAATGGCTTTTCCAACTTCTTCTTCATTTTCATACATATAAGCTGAATCAATATGGCGAAATCCAGCATCAATAGCTATCTTGGTTGCCTCTTCAGCTTTACTTTTAGGCACCTAAGAAAAAAACAAAACATAGTATTTGGGAATCAACTTGACTGTGAGGTAGTTTGTGCTATAAGTACTTATCTTAACCAGAATGAATTATTCCTTCATAATTTGTGTTAATTTCATGGGTTGCTTGGAAATTTTCCATTTTTAGTAAAGAAGTTGTACCTCCAATGTATTTCCTCCAGCTTAAGAGAACTGGAGTCTCCCCCCGGCCTTGGGGGTCCTAAGACCACTCTTAGGGCAAATGTTTTGCTAAATAACTTAAAGAATATAGTTGTTTCCAAGAGTATAATTTACCAGAGAGAAACAATACAAACTCTTTGATGACTCTCGCCATAATCTGACTCCAGCAACTGGTTTTCAAGGCAGACACCTACTTTATTTATCTTTTAAAATTTAAAGTAATATCAGCCTGAGGATATCAACAAATCTGAGTACTCAAGGATCTCCTTGAACCTGACTTATCTCACACATTTTCTTTGCAGTATTAACTAGACAAATCCTGCCACCTATTTTCCATAATGTCTCATGAATATTTTCTTCGATATTAGATATATTTAAAGTAGGACCCAAGAATTCAGGCCCTAGTCTCTTGATAGAGAGCTAAGTAGTCTAAAAGATAAACTTGGAATGTCCATTATGTGGTTTCCAGTGTACTGAGTTCTGCCCTTTGATACCTGCTTTGTGAGGGAGACTAACTCCACCTAATTGTTTCAGATCTAAGGTACATTAACATATACCGAGAATTGAAAACTTTGCCTTACAGGATTGTAGTCTTTCTTTTAAAATGAAGCTATCTTTCCTTTCAGGATGAGTTTTCCAAAATCATGTGAAGAAAACTCTGCTCAGTCCCGATGCACCTTCTACTAACTAGCCCTCAGAATAGAAATGCTAATTATCTCTCAGCATTCCTCACACACTTGCATTACTCAAAGACTTCTGGGCATTATTTCTCCTTAGGAGGAGAAAAAAGTTCTTGAGTTGTAGGAATATATAAGAAACTCTTCCCGCTGTAATCTATCTCACTACAAAGGAGCTGCCAGACTATTTTTGACTGTCAGGTTCATCTGTTCTGAGAAGCTGCGATATTATTGGAAACAAGGAAAAAGCAATACCCAAAATCATCTCTTGATCACACACACATCAGACTCAGGACTGAGTGAAGCCTGTTTACCTTCTCAGTTTATCCTAGCTACAGCCTGGGAAAATGGAGATTCCTATGACACCCTAGAGTCCTCACATAAAAGTTGGCGATGTGATAACCTGGCTCAGCTTCCACTCAGCCTGGGGCTTTTTTCATCTGTACCCTCAAGTCCCTAGGCCACTCTCTTTACCTCTGCTGGTGCATAGGTGCCAAATCCCAGGACAGGAATGGAGTGACCATCATTTAATTTCACGCGCTGACTTTTGAGATCCATCTTGTATTTCTGCCTCCACAGAGCCTGCTTTCTTGCCTCTACTTTTGCCAGAGACAGGAGCAACAGGAAATCAACACTACAGCTGCCTACTCAAGTGTTAACAAATAACTTGTGGGAGGGGCCAAGGCTAGATAAATAGCCATGGGGAGGGGGGAGGGAATTGTTCTTGATTAATTTCCAAAGAGAGGGTTTTTTTTTAATTTTGGTAAATATTAAAAATAAAATTTAATAAGGAATCCAAGTCACAAACTAGAAAAAAAAAGTTCTTTAAATGTATCACTTACTGATCACAAGAAAATCTTTTTAAGCTGTAAGATATATTTTCAGCATTCAGAACCTATAAAATGGAGTTAGTCTTTGACATACAAACTTCTGCAAAAGTTTATCTATATTGCACAGCTAAATTTAGGAATGTAGATAGGGAAAGAACATGTGCTTTTATACTACTAATATTTAATGTATTATCTTTTCTAAATGAAAATACCTCCTACTTTCAGCAATCATGCCTTTAGTTGGAAACTAACATATGCTCTAGATTTTGTAGATTGCTAATGGCTTCATTGTTTTCCTATCAAATATTAGAATTCTAGTTAGTTAAATGAGGCATAATTAAAAAATAGTCCTTCAGAGGAAAACACACACATAATCTTTTGAAAATTTGTGACAAAGATACACAAAATGTTACTGTAAATAGAAAGAAATCCTGAAATGCCTACTAACTGATGCACATGTGGATTCTTCTTCATAATCTGTATAAAGTAAAATATAGATAAAATAAGTTCTCAGTGAAACATTTTATGATCAATTGATTTATGTTGCTTCGTTACAACACATTTTCATTGCTACTCTCAGACTGCATTTGAAAATGTCTATAATTCAATCATTGTCAAAAGCAGTCACCTAACCCCTAATACTGCTGCCAAAAAATGTTGTGTACCTTATCCATAAGATAACGAAAATGTCTACACAAACCTATAATTCTTCTGTTTTAGCAGAGAACAGACAATTATTTGCCAATAAATATATGTTGTTGTTATTCAGCATCAATCAAGTCGCCTGTGACTCAGAGTGACCCTATGTACGGCAGCTCTGAAGCCTGCTCTGTCTTGAGCCCGTCTCACTGACTCCAACACTTACTCACATTGCTCTAGTTACTGTATCAATCCTTCTTATCCAGGGTCTTCCTCTCCTGTGCTGTTCCTTCACCTTTCCGAACGAACATGATGTCCTTCTTCAAGGATAGGTCCATCCTAGCTATTTGCTCAAAGCAAATAGAGACAGAGCTTCGAAAGCCTTGCCTCTAAAGAGAGACTTGGTTTCACCCTCTTCAAGATAGACTTACTTGTTTTCTTGGCAGTCTATAGTATGTTCAAGACTTCTCAAACCACAACTTGACGGTATCAGTTCTTCTTCCATAATCCTTAGTCATTGTCCAGTTCTCTGATACAAAGCAAGTAATTATGAAGACCATGGCCTGTATTAGGAGCACCTTAGTCTCTAGACTGACATTCTTGCTTCTCAGTATTCTGGAAAGGTCCCTGACAGCAGATTTACCTAATGCAATTCATCTTTTGATTCCCTCACTGCTGGTGCCAAGAGTGTTGATTGTGGAGCCGAGCAACCTGTAACTGTTACCAATCTCAATCTCTTCTCCATCTGTCATGATGCTGCCAATTGGCCCAGTGGTGAGAATCTTTGTCTTCTTGATGTTGAGCATCAATTCATATTGAAGATTACAGTCCTTGACCTTATGCAACAAGCTGTTTAGGTCCTCCTCATTTTCAGCAAAGTTGTGTCATGTACAAATAGAAAAAAAATGCACAACATGTAATTATTAAGCACACTGTAGTATTTATTGAGTTGTTTTACCATGCAGAAGGTGACTTTCCTATGGTCTTAGTTAAAATTATATAAAATTTAGCAAAGTTAAATGTAAGAAAATAGCAAAGGCGTTTTATTTCTACATGATGGAGCATATATCCCCAATTTGCTGCTATTTCAAAGAACACTGTTTGACTCATCTGACTTTTTAGGCTTTTTCAAAGGGAAGTTTGTAAAGACTAGCTATTCTGAGACAAAAGACAAAGAAATAAAACAAAAGAAATATTAGATGAAATATCCCAAGACAAAAAGACAAAAATACAAAAAAAGCAAAACAGTCAGTTAAACACAGAATATATGCCACTTTTGATTTACAGACAAACCCTGAGATATAAACCACAGTGTTAAGACACCAAATTGTCAGAGGTATAATATTAAGTACATTCATATGTGGTGTCAGGACACTTGCTTCTTAATATTCTGTTACTTTACAGAAAGCTTAACTACTTGGATATTTTCCAGAAAATTTGTGTGTTTAAGATGTTTCTTAGAAAATACTTTTCCTTTCCAGAAAATTAATCTAATTAAAGAATGGTAGGTTTAAAAGAAACTTTTATTTCACTTTTCAAAACAAAGGCTGCATAGTGGAGTGGACTTGAGGGGAGGGATTGTATAACAATGAAAGAATTTTTCTTTTACTTTCCAAAGAGAAGAGCGAAT